CACGTCCCAGATCCCTGATAGTTAAAATGCAGGTCAGAGGTGGATCCGTGTTCAACACCTGATCGTGTGTGTGAATGGGTGTCTGAATATGTGTGAGTACTTGAGTGTGTGAATGTGTGTGTGGATCGACGTGTCTGAATGTACAAGTGGGTATATGTGTGTGTGTTTGTGTGTGATGGTGGGGAGTGTGTGCAGGTGAGCGAATATACGTGTGGTCATAATGAATGCATTCGGGTGTAAACACAGGCATGTTCACTGAGATGGGCAGGCGGTTCCAGGGTGGGAGGTTCTGTGTCCAGCACCTAGGAATCGAGAAGAACAAGCGTGGGGGTGGGTCTGGACTCAGCGCGCAGACAGCCAAGGGACGCAGTGCTTTTTAGAGAGGTTCCAGGATCCCACACTCCTGACCCACGTGAAGCCTCAGTTTTGCATCTGTAAGGTGGCTATGTCAGCAGCGTCTACTTTAGGGTTTAAAAAGCTCAGAATTGTGTGTGAGGCATGCGCAGCACTCAAACGCCAACTGGTATCATGACACCGCGTCACCTTCAGCACCCAGAGCAGGTGCTGCCACGCTCGCTCCTCAAATCAAGTCAGAGGGCTACTCGCTAGCCACATCCACCGCGCGCCTCTCAATCTGTTTCTCCTCCCGTGAGTAGGCGCAATAAATGGCGTGGCGTTTGTTTCCTAGGGCGGAGCTTTATTTGAGATCACTGGACTGCGGCCGACCCAAGCCAAAGCCAGGGGCAGGATGCCCTCTTCTGGCAGTGGGAGGTAAACGTCAGTTGCAGCGAGAGGGCGTCGGGCCGTGAGGCCGCGGCGCAGCTCGCGCCACGCACGTGGATCCCCGCCGAGGGCACCGGCGCAGCCCCGCAGGAAGGGCCTCCTCCCGCCCGCAGACCGCACTTCCGGGAAGTTCCTCCCAGCCCCCCGCCAGACGGCGCCAGGCGCCCGGATACAAGTTGTCAGGGCTTCCGTGTGCATTTTGCCTTCCGCTGTGGGATTACTTAGGCCAAGTCTATCTGAAAGGATCGTGTGAGAAATGAAAGGGGAGCGGCAACATCCCACACCGCTTCGTTCTTACAGTCCCTGAACTAGGCTTTTAGCAAATGTTAAAATATTAGGATGGAGGAAGCCGCGAATCTAGTGGGAATAGACCTATGAGGCCACTTAGCTCTCTTAGGGAAGGCTCTAGCCTTAGCCGGGCATATAACAGACTCAACTCCAGAACCTCGTCCCAGGGCAACCTGATCTGTGGGCGAAAACAGATCAACAACGTGGATTCCTGGGGAGACATTTGAGCGCATGCATTCAGTCCTCAAATGTTGGAGGCATTTTGTGTACTTTGTACCGAGCTGGACATTGGGGATACAGCAGGGACAAAACCAGACACGTTCCTGACCTTCCTGAGAAGCTGGGAGTAGGGACAGCCACATAGACATACTCAACACAACGATAAATAGCCACACTCAATCCAGTTTTACAGGTGGAAATAGTGAGAATCAGAGGGCAATGGCCAGTGAGGCACATTCTCTTGTATTCTGTGAGTCTGGGGGGGCTCCTCAAAGGGGAGCTTGTGGATGGGTGGGTGCAGCCAGCTCCTGGAATCACACTGATCATCTACTGCAGAGTAGTCAGGGATGAAGACTGAGACAGGGAAGGATGGGGGAGCCTGTCTCAAGCTTTCTAAGAAATCTCACCTTTGTACTCCCATATTCAGTAGTACATATTCATAGTCCCATATTCAAGGAGGGCCCTGGAGATGTACACATCCGAGGTGACCTGGAGCTGAGAGTCTGGATAGAGTGTGTGAGGAGTTGGCACCCAGTCAAGGGTGGTAGAGGACATAACTGCCTACCTTCTCTCATCCCCATCAGGGGGCCTGGAATCCATTCTTATATCTCACAATTTCCCAATTAATCCAGAGTCTGAGTGCCAGACTCTGGATTGAGAGCAGTCTTGAGGATCCCTTGGCCAATGGGTGGGTTCCTTTTCTCTCCACCCCTCTCCACCCTCCATGCTACAGTGCTAAATGACTGCAAAAATAAACATGGAGAGGGCAGGTTAAAAGGCCAGGTTAAAGGGCAGGTTCAAATGGCCTGACTTGTCTTTGTCTATTGTTTGGGGTGCCCTAGCGCCTCTCCAGAACACTCAGCTGGTTCCCGGGCTGAGAGAAGGGCAGCCTGACAGTTATTTGTTCACCGCAGCTTTCATGGCTACACTGTGATGACCCCTACTCTATTAGCAGAATGTCCAGCCTGATTATACACACATAAATATAAGATACATAATATGTGTGTTTGCCTTTTACACAAATAATAATATACTGAAAACATCCTTCTGCATGTTGCTTCTTTCCTTCCATTTAGCATTGAATTTTGATGGTTATATATAAATATCTTTGCTATCTCAGTATTCCAGCTGTGGAGTATACCATTATTTATTGAACAAGTCTCCTACTGAAGGACATTGGGACTATTTCTAACCTTCTGCTGTTAATGTCATTTCACTCACATGTGTTTACATCTTTGGGATAAAGTCTTTGAAGTGGAACTACTTGGTCAAAGGGTACATGAGCCTGTAATCTTGTTAGCCTTTACCAGAATGTAGCTTATGAAAGTTGGGCCAATATACAACCCCAGAGGCAATGTATGAGGGGACCTGCTTCTCCACAACCTCGCCAACAGTTAACCAGAAGTTATGGCACTTAAAATTTTTTTTTAGCCAATCTGATGATAAACTTAAGAAAACTGATCACACATACCCATTTGCACCCAACATATGGGGAGCCTAGGCTTCCTCTCCTATTTGGCATTAATAAGGAACCCCTTTCCCTTCCTGGTGGTGGTTGTTTGTTTTGTTTTCCTCCACTATATAATGACAATGGAGTCATTCCACCAAGAAGACAAAGCAATCCTAAATGCCTATGGATGAAATAAGAGTGCTACAAAATATGTGAAGCGAAACTTATAGAACTGAAAGAAGAAAAAGACAAATCCACAGTTGTGGTTGGGAGATTCAACAACTAGACAGAAGACCAGCACACAAAAACCAATTGTATTTCTCTATAGTGGGTGTGAATGCATGGACACCAACATTAAAATGCAATACCATTCAAGAAGGGGAAATGGAGGCCCTCCCTGGTGGTGCAAGGGGTTAAATCTCACCACTCTGAAGCTATATGCAGCCACTGCAGCAAGAGTTCAATCCCTGGACAGGGAGGTGACCCATATGGCACAGCAGACCTCACATCTCCCTGCTGCTCCCTTCAGCAGTGTATTCAGCCAATCTGCCTGTCCTGCTCCCCACTGTCTCTGGTGAATCTTCTCATGCCCCATACCTCTGGCCTGTACCCCAGTTCTGTATACATAAATAAAAAAATCTTTAAAATAAAATGAGTCCTGGGGATATAGTGTACAGAATGGTGACTACAGTTAATAATGCTATATTGTATATTTGACAGTTGCTAAGAGAACAGATATTAAACATTCTCATCACAAAAGAGAAAAAAGAGTATGTGTGGCAATGAATGTTATTTAGATTGACCTGGTGATCATTCTGCAATATATACAAATATACAATTATGTTATATATCTCAAGCTAATATGTCATTATACCTCGATTTTGAAAAAAGCAATTCACTTCTTTGTATTTGCCACAAACACTTGAAAAATAAAAATTTAAAAAGGTAAATTTGAAAAAATATAAAAACAGCTAGGACAAACCAAGTCAAATATATTTACATATTTACAACATAAGAATATCAACCCTCGTAGGAAGAGAAGCAGGAAGTTGCGAAGGTCAGACAGAGAAGGATCAGTGTGAACAGTGGGAGGAGGGTCCAGAAAGTGGAAGCCAAGAGCACATTGTGTGCAGGGAGGGATGGGGAGTGGGGGGTGGGTTGGGGTGCCTGCTGGGGCACTTTGATCCAAGTCTGCCAGGTTCCCTACCGACCTTGGCTGGAGCAGTTTCTGCAGAGATGTGGGGGTGGAGGCCACACAGCTGAGCACTGGGGGAGGTGAGGAGGTGCAGACAAATCTGAACAAGTTTGAAAAGGAAAGAGATGTGAGATGAAGGGAGATATTCCTTAAGAGCTGTTAAAGGGTCTTCAGGTGGACAATTAAAGTCACAAGTAGATATATTTTCACTTATCAGTTCAACAAAAATTTTTCAGAATGACAAGATCCCTCCCAGACAATGCTGATGGGCGGGTAGATGTCAAAACTGCCTTGGAAAGTGATTTGGCAGTTATCTAGGAAAGAAAATCCAGAAACTCCACCCATCGGTACACTTAAGCCCAAAGACACCCACTCACAGGTCCTAAGAGACAATTTTTGTCACTCCACGTATGCAATAGTGAGATTGAGTCTGCAACTACATCAGGTGAATTAACCATGGCATTTATACAATGAAATACTATATTGCAGCAAAAATACATCCATCTATGTCACATGCGTAACTCTAACTAATCTAAAATAGACCAGAGGAAAAAAAAAAGCAAGCTGCAAAAGGATAAGTACAGTATGGTATCATTTATGCAAAGGCCTTAAATGCCCAAGAACTCTAGGAAGGATTTAACGATTTATACTGTTGCAAAAGTATAAACATTTGTGTAAATTTACTTAAACTGAGGACAGTGGTGGGCAGTGAGGGTGGAAGGTCTGAGGTATGTTGGGTAACCGGCACATTGCACATTCACTCATAATCTGTGTGGTAGTTGCCAATCAACCACTTTACAGATGAACAAAGTTGAAACTCATGATGTGAATTTGGCTGGAATTTCGGTTTCAGGTTTTTGACACCAAACTCACTGTGAAAAAGAGAAAGCTCTTGGGTTAGTTCTCCCGCAGCTCCTGACGATAGCAGAAAGTCAATAAAATTTGGTCTGGGCCGGGATCGAAGTCCATTCCGGCCCCGCCCCCTCCGCTGGGCCCCGCCCCGGAGGCCCAGCGGGGTCATGAATATTCAAGTAAGAGGCAGATATTTAAAGGCGCCGGCGCCACGCGACCATCCCTACCTCGCGCCTCAGCCCAGTGCGTCTACATACTCCGAGGCCCAGCCCCCTTCGCTCGAGTCCCTCAGTCAGAGAGGACGCGCCGCCAGGATGTCGGACAAACTGCCCTACAAAGTCGGTGAGTTCCAGGACCGGCGGCCGGCAGCGTCTGCTAGGCAACGGCTTGGGGCTTGTTTGGGCGGCCGCCGCGGGGCCGACTCCGAGCGGTTAGGACCCCTTGACTCGCAAGCTAGGCGCGATCCTGGTCGCGCGAGGCCGCCTGGGGGTTGGAGTTCTGGCGCCGCAGCTCCTGGGTGGTGGGAGGCGGACGAGGACTACAACTCCCGGCGTGCCCCGCTAGGCCCTGTGCCGACGCGCGCGGGTGGCGGAGCCGGGGAATTGGCGGCGTGTTCCCTCCTGAGCTGGCTGGAACCGGCGGCGAGCGCGCACCTGCCGGGATCTATCGCCCTAGGGGGCCGGGATCCTGCCGCTTGAGCCAGAACCAGCCCTGTGGCCAGCAGTGTGGACCCAGACAAGTGCTCACCTCTCTCGGTCCAGCGACCGGGAAGGCTAGGGCATTGGAGCCCTGCGGGGCGCGTGGGCAGAGGCCCCGAGAATGAGCCCGAAGGCACTAGTCCACGTGTCGGGACTTTAGTTACCCTCCGGGTCTCTTACCTGGACTACAGGGACAGCTGGGCTAAGGTTCTCGAAAATTACGAGTTATTAGAAAAAGCCTCCCTGTTGTCCTGTGATAATACACTGGGTAGTTAATATTTATTGGCCATTTGCTGTGGGATGGGCACCACCTGCTACGTTGATGCTGCAGTAATTCATTTTATTCTCACAGCTCGTTCGGTTAGGGACTGTTCCTTCTCACTTTAGAGTGAATATACTGAGACACTGGAATAAAGGTCACTCGTTCACGATCTTAAAACAGGTAGCAGGTGGTAGGGCAAGATATGAGCCTAAGCTACCAGGCCTGTGAGCACACCTTATCGCTACTGTTACACAACTGAACATGACGTTTGGAACAACCATGATGAGTTTTCAGCAAAAAGAATTTAGGAGGCCTTTTGGTGGCCTAGGGGTTAAGTCTCAGCCCTAGCATAGGTATTCACCGAGTTCAGTCCCCAGCCAGGAAGCTGATCCACATATGGCGCTGCAGACCTCTCCTGTCTCCCCTGCTCCCCTCAGCATTGTATTTCAGTAAATTTGCCTGTTCTGCTCCCCGCTCCGGTGAATCCTCTCATAGACACACCTGCACCTCTGGCCTACACCCCAACTCTTGTATGCATAAATAAATATTTAAAAAGACCTGAGACCCTAGTAGGAAATGAATTGCAAAGATTCTGTTGAAATAGCTTATCAAGTAATGGCCATAGTGGACCTGTTGTCCCCATTGTGTGAATGATGAAACTAATGCCCAGAAAGGTAAAGTGAAGGTCACATCGGGGCCATCCAGTAGAGAGTAAGGTTGAAGGCCTTAGGATCTGTGAGGAGATACGGAGATGTGGCTGTATTTGGGAGTGGGGGAGTTTAGGATAGGGTTGAGGAAAGGAAGGCCCTACCAAGCAGGCCATACTGTGCCAGACCTTTCCCTTATGGCATCTTTTGTAAATCTTCAGTGCTCACAGGAAGATTAAGGATGATTGTCCCCATTATTCAGATGATGAAACTAAGGCTTAGAGAGAGCCTTGCTGTTCCTGGGACAGGGGTTCAGTAATAGCTGCAAGTCTAGCTTTCCTTGGCATAACTGAACCCTCTGTTGCCCTTGAAGTTAAGGAAACCATGGAAAACTCTGGGCTGACACAGGTGTCAGAAGAGCAGAGAAGGAGTTATTTTTAGCTAGAGGAACAAGCAGAGGTGGAGGAGGTGAAGCCTGGCAGGATAGGGCAGAGCCTATTGTCCACTACAAATCTCTGATTCTCGCCCCACCCTCTACAGCCCCGCCTCAGCCACTGGCTGTGACACCTGGGACAGATGCTTCTGTCAACCAGTCTTTGTTGGCAAGTGCTGAGAACTGGACTAAGTTCAGATTATTTGAGCATTTTTATCACTGCTGCCCCATACCAGCCCTTTTCATTCAGCCCTAACAACAGGTACGGTCAGTAAACATTTGCTGTTTCTGTGCCCAACCTGGTGGGGAACTGGAGATAAAAATACGGCTCAAGGATGAGTGTGGGACAGGCAAACGTGCAAACGTAAAGTGTCTCCATTTTATAAATGAGTTCCACCCCTCTTTTTCCCTGGCCATCAACTCGGTTCTGACTCTTTCCTCACAGATCTCTTGTTCTACGAATATATACAGCAGACAAAGGGGTCTCTTCAAAACACAAAGTGGTCATGACACTCCTCTTAAAACTTTGTAGGTTTCTCAGCTCACTAGCAATAAAATTTTCGTGCATTTTATCCCTCTAGTTGAGGTTCTCTGGTGCATTCTGTTTCTTCAGCAGGGATGCTAAGTTCTTTTCTGTGACTGGGTTTTTGTTGAGCGCATACTGTGTGTCACATACTGTGTCTGGTGCTTGGAGAGGAGCCTTCCGGCTCAGAACTGCTGATGTGGGAGTGATGTAGGAGAGGGGGGAGAGGTGAGGGAGTAGTGTGGGCATTCACACTGATAAATCAGGGCCTAGAGGCCATGCAAGGAGTTAGTATTTTATTCATCAATAAGAGAAGGTGGTTTGTTTTTTACTTTAAAAGAGTGGAATGATACAACTAAAATTAAAGAAAAAAAACCTCTTCTGATATCTGCGGGAAAAGTAGTATGTGAGTGGGAGATGAGTGATATGTGGCTACCTGGATAATCCAGTGGTGGTTTAGACTAGGTGGTATGCATTTGGATTGCTTATATATTTGGAATGTTGAACCAACAACATGCTGATAAGCTGAAAGAATATAAGAGGAATCAAGAACTATTAAAAGTTTTTGGTGACAGCAGTTGGTCAAATTGTACTCTCATTTCCTAAAATGAAAATATTGTGGGAGTAACAAATTGGGGGGGAGGGGAGACAGGGAGTCACAAGGGCTCTAACTTAACATTTAATAGATCCAGCGTGGCTTCCAAGCGGAGATGCTGAGTAGACAGTTTGAGTCTCAAGTTCATGGGAGAAGCTTGGATGGAGATAATATGTCGAAGTCACTGCTATAGAGAATGCATTTAAAGCCAGAAGACAGCTCATCTGGGAAGAGCTGGCTTAGAGGGATTTGATGGAGCCAAATATTAGTCTGTTAGAGGCAGAGAGCCAGGGAAGTAGGAGGAAAACTACAGAAGGTCAGGCAGAGAAGCCAAGTGATGAAGGGAGGAAAGGAGTAATTGGGGGGGGAGGGGTTAGCGCTGCTCATAAAAAAATGAACATAGATCTGGAGGTCAGGTTTGTCTTTCGGGACCTGAACAAGAGCAATTTCAGTGGAGGAGGAAAGAGCTCAAGGAGGTGAGAAGACATGGAATTAGACCCCTTGGAGCAGAAACAGCTCATCTATTGTGACACAATACCCAGTGCCTATAGCTACAGTTAAGGACTACTGGATCCTATAGGAGAAAAGTGGCACAGTTCTGAATTCTTTTCAGTGAATTGTGCAGTAAGATTGACAGTTGAAGAGGAAAGGTGTTGGAGACTTGGAGAAAGTAGAGAAGAAAAGATTTACTAAAAGTAGTAATAGGATTGCTGGAATCGAGATTTGTAGTCTTAATAAATGAGATTTTGTGATTACTCTCCTGCTTGGTTCATCCACCTGGGTATGCTGGAGGCTTGGCCTTTACCAGGGGGGAGTTTTGCCAAGCAGTTCGTTATAGGAAAAGAGGGTATGGTGGGATCTAAAACTGTGGCAAGAAGTTGAGGACATTAAGTAGGTGCAATACCGGATAGTAGCAACTGGTAGGATTAATGGGTAGAGATCTGACCTCACACTTAGTCTTACTGAGTTAGGGCTCTCATCGCAGAGGATAGAGACTTGAGAGATAGTCAGGTGGTCAATAATACCATCATCCTTCTTTCCTGCTTGTGAATTTGAATAAATTTGAGACATCTCTGGGGTGACAGACAGATACAACTTTCTATATAACTACATTTCCATTACTAATAACCTCGTAAGAGTATGTAGATTAGTGTCCTGCTAACTGGACTCCAAGAGAGTTAACAACACGTTAGGTGAAGCTGGCCTAAGTAGGTCTCTGAACGAGCCAAGGGCACTCGATACTTACAGGCAGGCCACTGCTTGCTTGCAAAAAAAGGAACGGCACTAAGCAAGTTTACTAATCCGACAAATCACTCCGCCTTCTCTGGGACAGAGAGGTGTTAGTTATGCGGTAGGGTAAGCTCCCTGCACGTAGAAACATCTGGAATGGGGAAGAGAAGCATTTTCTTATCAAGGTCAAGGAACAAAACTAGTCCCAAAATGTATTAGATTCTATCAATTTTGAGTGTTGAAGGTACAGAGGGATGACTTAGAAGATGGTGGCCAGGTGCTAAAATCTTGGAATGAAGAGGTTGGTGAGCACAGTAGAAAGGGGAATGGGAGGTCTCCATAGTCTGGCAGTCATTTTTCAAAGGGGCATTTATCGTTAGAATTTTCACATACCTCACTAAGTGTGTTGTCCCACAACGTTGTTTAAGCTGCTGTTAGGCTGGGACCATGTCTGCTTTTTGACTGCCCTGGTTCCGTAAATTCTTGTGGAATCAGTGAGCGGGTGGAGTGACTGTTTTGAGGCATGCGTGACGAGAAGCGGTGCCCCGTGGCCGTCGGGGTGCAGTAGCTCGTGGACTCACCGCCTTGCCCCCGCAGCTGACATCAGCCTGGCCTCCTGGGGACGCAAGGCGCTGGACATCGCAGAGAATGAGATGCCCGGCCTGATGCGGATGCGCGAGATGTACACGGCCTCCAAGCCACTGAAGGGCGCCCGCATCGCCGGCTGCCTGCACATGACGGTGGAGACGGCAGTCCTCATCGAGACGCTTGTCGCCCTGGGCGCTGAGGTGAGGCCAGGACTGTCCCCTGCTGCTGGCCGCTGACCACTTAGGCCCAGGAGGCAGGGCTCCAGACTTGCCCGGGCCCGTCACCCTGCACATTGTCCCCCTGGCTGGGAAAATAGCTTCTGACTGCCCTCCATTTGAGTCCTGAGCTATGGACAGAAAACTCCTAAATCAAGGTCCTGCGGTGTTCTGTTAACTGGCTCTCCTGGGCCACCGGGTCTCCCCTGTGTGAGGCCAATCATGGCGGCCGGAAGGAGGGCTGCTCTGATTGGCCAGCCAGGGTCATGTGCACAGTGATTGACAGCTCTTTGAAGCTCTCTGGGAAAGCAGGAGCAAGGTACTGTCACACGAGTTCTTGTGGGCTTGTGTCTAGGCATATGTCTCATTTTCCCTTCTTTTCCTAATAAATCTGTCTTTTAAAATGCAAAAGAAAAAAATAGTTTCCCAAGAGGAGGCAGGGCAGAGCAGCCAAAACCAAGAGTATTCTAGGGCCCGCCCCCTCCCAGTACCTCTTTTAAGTATTTACATTCTTGGTGATCTGATTTTTAGACTTTAAATACCGTATATAGTGATGATTACACACACACACACACACACACACACACAGATGCCTGACTCTCAAACCAGCAACTAATCTTTCAGCATCTTCAGTCAGCTCAGCCTTCAAAATAGACCCACTGTCACCATCACTATTGCATTTCACTTTTCCCTTCCCCCTCTACACTGCACCAGAGTGATATCTTAAAATAACCCTGGGCTCTTGTCACTGCTCTGGCTCCCGCCCACCCATTCACTAGGGTGCCCAGCTGGGCACAGATCCCTAGCCTACCCCAAACTCTAGGGCTTCCCCATCTCTCTCCAGTGACCCTGGTGCCTCTGGACACCAGGTACAGTGGTCTCTTGGCTGTCTCTTCCAGGTACAGTGGTCCAGCTGCAACATCTTTTCCACACAGGACCATGCAGCAGCTGCTATTGCCAAGGCAGGTATTCCAGGTGAGTGCTGCTGGAGAAGGTGGGAATGCATAAGGAGGCTTTGTTGCTCTCTCCCAAGCTTCACTACTTCCTGTGGTGCCAGATATCCCTGTGGCAGTTCTAAGGACGCATGGCCACAGAACCCAAACGTAGTGATCCATAGGAAAGAGCTGTTTTGTTTCACTGTCATCTATGACCCAATAGACTTGGTGCTTATTGGCCCAACTCAAGTCATGTGACCAGGAAGGATGGGATCTTATGATTGGGAATCACATACTGTACCGGAGGGGAAGTTTACTTTAAAGGGTCTGTTTCCAAAAGAATTGGGGAAGGATATTGGGTAGAGAAAGGGCTCTATTGTCTGGGGGGCTGGCAAAGGACCGGACTTAAAGAAAAAGGACTTTGTTAAGCTGCTGGAAAACATGGGCACATTTGCCTCAGGTTGGGGAGGGGAGTGGTTATTCTAGCGGTGATTAAATAAAACATTCTCAGTTCCTTCTAAATAGCCACAGGTGGAAAGATAAAGGAGAACCCTTCCAGAGACTGACCAGGCCTGGACAGCCATGTCTCTAACTCCTCAGCATTGCTGTGGCTCCACAGCCCGATCTGGGAATGCCTGGTTTTCCAGACTGTTGTCTGCTCCAGTAAGGGAGAGGAACAGCTGGTTATGTACTTTGCTTACAGAAAGTTGAGGGGAGCCCCACTTGTATCCAGGTAGGGGTTTCTGTGCGGGAAGATGAGTTGGGGCATGAAGCAGAGAAATGTTTGGCACAAAGAAAGTACTTCATACATAGTAGCTGCTATGAGTAATTTTTTGGCCAGACTTTGTCCGGGCCCACCTAGCACAGGACTGTTGGGCCTCAAGTGCTTTCAGTGTGGAATGAACCGTGAGTCTTGCCTGAGGGTCCACCTGAGTGTAGCTGCTGCCCTGCAGCACCCCCTTGTCAACAGGAGTATTGTGAAGAGGAGCTCTGCTCGCTGTTGGCTGGTGTACTTGGGGCCGGACAGAGGGCTGGGAATAGAAATAATCCTTTTCAGATATCTCTGTCTGGGGGGCTGTACTTGGCATTCATCTCATTTAATCTGAACCATTGTGACCCCCACTTACAGATGAAGAAACTGAGGTGAAATGATTTGCCCAGTCCATAGCTCTAGAGGACAGAGTGAGGAATTGAACTCAGACCTATATAGCTCTATGTTGTGTTCTTAGTATTGTGGCGTCTTCAGAGGGGCTGGAGGTGGCTAGAGAGGGGAATTAGAAAGGAGATAGCATTGGCTGTGTCCACTGGTCCCTGGAGCAGGTGCCAGTGGGTGGACTAGGTCCTAATATGCCATTCACCCTCCAGTGTATGCCTGGAAGGGTGAAACAGACGAGGAGTACCTGTGGTGCATTGAACAGACGCTGTACTTCAAGGATGGACCCCTCAACATGATCCTGGATGATGGTGGTGATCTTACCAATCTCATTCATACCAAGTACCCACAACTTCTCTCAGGTGAGCAGAGTGGGTGGGCGGACTAGGTGATGGCAGTCTGTGTGAAGGCGGCAGGCATGGCTTGGCTGGATGTATGGTGGCTTAAGCAGAAGGTTCTGTGAAAGATGGAAGGACAATAGGCTACTGTAGGCATGCTGGGGCCTGGTCTTCTTAGTTTTGATGCTGTGGTACCAGGATGGCTGGGGAGGCCCAGTGAGGATGGTGGTCCAAGGGCAAGAACAGGGCGGCAGCTGGATGCAGCTGGGAAGGGGTCAACTTTGTTAAAAGCAGGATGGTGGGGAAGAATGTCAGGACAATAGTGAGTACAAAGGTCCTGAGGCAGGAAAGCCTGGACTAGTCAGGAAACAGAAAGGAAACCAGGGTAGTTTCCTTTCTAGGACAGTATTAGGGGATATGGCTGGAACTTCAGTGAAAGCCAGATGTGTAAGGACTTGATAAGTCAAATTGAAAGAGTTTGACTTGATCCTAGAAGTAAAGGGAATTACTTGGAGCATTTGAAAAGATTTCTCTGGAAATATGTTAAGATGGCTGCTAGAACATGGGGTGTAGCTGGTGGTGGGCACTGGGAGTGGCGGTGGAAATGGAGAGTTAGGGCTTGTTGAGAGATGGACCCATTAGGCCTGATGATGGCAGTGATTCCTCATGTTGACCTGGTGATCGGGTGGATTTGGTGTCAGCCACAGGGATGGGAACCAAGGAGGGGGAGCAGCTATAGGGGGCAAAAGGGAAGAATTTGGCTGAGTTCAGCTGTGGGTCCTTGGAGGTTATTGGGGCTTATCCCAGGTTCCCCAGTCCCTACCTCACCCCCACCCTCTTGTTCAGGCATCCGAGGCATCTCCGAGGAGACCACAACTGGGGTCCACAACCTGTACAAGATGATGGCTAACGGGGTCCTGAAGGTGCCTGCCATCAACGTCAATGACTCCGTCACCAAGGTGAGCCCATGGGCAGAGACCACTAGCACTGGCTCCCATGCTGCTCAGGGTAGGCCTCTGGAAAAGGGCCTGAAAGAAGGCTCCAGGCCAGGGACATCTCAGAGGGGGAGGGACGTTATAGATTGAGGTCATTGAAGGCGTTAAAGCAGGGGAGAACTATATAAGGAGCCTGAGAGCTGGGCATCAAGAGTTTTAAAGTGAAGCAGATCTTTTGACCAGGTAATTTCTCCTAGTAATTGGTCCTTAAAAAACTTGGACTGGCAGGTAAAGGCAATGTGTGAGGGCTGATCAGGACAAGGGCCATATGTGAGTGTCTTAGCAGGTGGGGAGAGGCCACAGGAGGCGACAGCCCAAGGCCCACCAGGCCAAGACCCTGAGAGTGGGCCTAAGGCCCCAGGACTTCATCTGTACATGTCACCCTTTACCCCCTCTTCTTTCAGAGCAAGTTTGATAACCTCTATGGCTGTCGGGAATCCCTCATAGATGGCATCAAGCGAGCCACAGACGTGATGATTGCAGGCAAGGTGGCAGTGGTAGCAGGCTACGGAGATGTGGGCAAAGGCTGTGCGCAGGCCCTGAGGGGTTTCGGGGCCCGTGTTATCATCACTGAGATCGACCCCATCAATGCACTGCAGGCTTCCATGGAGGGTAAGATAGGATGAGGGTTGGCTGTCTGCCACTGGGACTAAGAAGGGCAAGGCTCCCTGGTGACCCATGACCCCGTCTCTGCGTAGGCTATGAGGTGACGACCATGGATGAGGCTTGTAAGGAGGGCAACATCTTTGTCACCACAACTGGCTGTGTTGACATCATCCTTGGCCGGTAAGTGCCAGCTTGGACGGTCTTGGGGAGTCAGGGTGAGGCAGGCTTGGTGGGTGTCTTTTGTCCTAATAGTCTCCCTTGGGCTTGGGCTCCCACAGACACTTTGAGCAGATGAAGGATGATGCCATTGTGTGCAACATCGGACACTTTGATGTGGAGATTGATGTCAAATGGCTCAATGAGAACGCTGTGGAGAAAGTGAACATCAAGCCCCAGGTGAGACGCCTTGGCCCTGTCAGCAGGTGGGCAGGTAGACAGCAAAGGGCGCCATGCTTGTGGCACCAGGGAGGGCAGATGAAGAGGCTGTTGCTCTGGTCACTGGAATGGAGGAGAGGGTCTGGTTTCAGCTGTCAGACTTGACCCGAGTTGCTGAAGATGTGCGGCAAGTGAGATGGCAAGTGAGGCTGCTGCTTTAGAGGGAACACTGGTTGCTGTGTGGGGGAGAAAAACAATGGAGTTGGGGTTGGGTGGGCAGAGGCTTCCAGAGGATGCTATTCAGGTCCCTGCAAGAGACTTGGGGGTGGTGGGGACTGGATGGATTGGGTGTGGAGTCAGAGGAAGAAGAGAAGAAAAGGATGCTAGATGTCTGGCGTGGATAAAAAGTGGGTCTATTTACTGAGCTGGGGAGATGTGGAGTCTGAGAAAGAGCAGGCAGTGGGGTGGTGAAAGATGAGTTCCTTGGGGAAATGTGCAGTTTTGTTTGGATTGTTAACTAGGACAGTTTTTTCCCCTCTGCTTATAAAAGTAGTGTATTTCTGGGAGACCTTTAACTTTGGGTAGCAAAAGCATTAAGCATATTTTTTGGGCAGTCTCTCCAGAAGGTAATTAGGTTTGGCTTTAAAGATATTCATCACATTTCCTAAAAGGAAAACCCCACAATAAAGGGAGCCTTGGGGTGGTCCATGCTGTCTCTGAGACAGACAGAAAGTATGGGCACAGACACCCGAGCAGCAACGCCACAGGCCCAACTGGGACACAGAACTCCCCGGGGGCACTGGAAAGCATATCCACCTCACATCCGAATACCCCTCTGAATATCCAACACACATCTACCCACCTTGCTGGCGCTCTTGGGCCCTCTGCCCCAGTGTGGGAGTTCCCCATGGTCCCTGCAGTTGCTGGCCTGGCGAGGGCACTCCATCTCTGCCTGGGGGGCCTGGCACTCACCACAGCACGGGGGTGGGCGAGGCATGTAGCCCTGGCAGCCAGCCAACCGCCTTCTGCAGACCACACAAAGCTCTGTTGGAATGATGGGCATCTCTCCCCTAAGCTGCCCTCAAAGCCTGACTTGTTACCCCTGAGCTCCTCAACAACCTTGCCAGCCTTCTTCCCAACTTTGCTTCTAGTCTAGTCTCTCACGGACCTGCACACTTGGGCTACCCCGGATCACTCCCTGAACACACCCACCTCTGCATCTGCTCCTCCAACTGGAGTCTCCTCTTATTTGGAACAGTGACTAGCCTTTTTGCTCGAGAGCCCCTCCGGAGCCAGCAGACCTGTAGCACAGCGTCACAGTATAGTTGGAGTCACTGGTTGTGGTCTTTGCCTGCATTATCCTACATGAGGGCAGAGTCCAGTTTATCCTACATGAGGGCAGAGTCCAGTTTAAGCCCTAAGAGGCTAGGTTCAGAGGGGTGCCCGTGAGTTTTACTGAAGGAAGGGATGCTTGGTAGAACTTTCCTTGAACTATGCTAGGCTTCCTAGAGTAACCTGGAAACCTGGGCTTTCGGGAAATGTTTGCGAGTCAGTGTGAGAGGGAGGGAGGGTGGCAGGAAGAGGGAGGGAGTGGGCAGAAAAGTGAATTTATATGTATGTTTGGGTAGCAGAGAGATGGACTCCTGGGGGATTGTGCTTCTTGTTTATTCACTAAACAGGGCTCTCTGCCTGGTGCAAGCACCAGGGCACCACGCCACAGGCTACTGGTAGTAAACTCTGAGCGCAACAAAGGCAGCACCATTTTAAACGCTCCTAGGGTGGCTCAGGTTTGCATTTGAGGTTGAGCACCACTGCATTCAACTCTTAGGAAGGAAGGTGGTTGAGATTCTGGCCAAAAGGCATTCTCGAACCTGCCCTCAGACTGTCAACCTCAGATTGCAGCCACTTCGTAGTTCATGGCTCTGGATGGATGACCTTAACCTCTTACATTTAAGTATCTTTACCTCTGAAATGAGGATAATAGTAGATTGTAGGTTTACTAGGATTTAGTGCGACTGTGTGTATGTATATACGTAGTTTGTGTATGCGCTTAGCCCAGGACCAGTGGAAATAGTAACAATGACAGACAGCATCAGCTACTGCATATTAAGTACTCAGCAGATGCCCCGCCGGGCGCCCGGTGTTTTATATGTGCCATCTCACAGAACTCATGGCAGACCTGTGAGATCTGCAGCTCTGAGTTAAGCTTAAGTATTGGCTGTCTTTGTGTGTGCCAGACCCTGAACGGGAGGTCACTCAGGGGCAGCCCTGGGTCTTCATAGGTACTGTTGGGAGCAGGAAGGCCTGCTGGACAAGAAGGGTGGGCAGTGGACAGTGGGAGCAGTGCCCTTCCATTCCTCACCGGCGCTCTGTCAACCTGCAGGTGGACCGCTATTGGCTGAAGAATGGGCGCCGCATCATTTTACTGGCTGAGGGCCGGCTGGTCAACCTGGGCTGTGCCATGGGTCACCCCAGCTTCGTGATGAGCAACTCCTTCACCAACCAGGTGCTGGCACAAATTGAGCTGTGGACCCACTCGGACAAGTACCCTGTCGGGGTGCACTTCCTACCCAAAAAGGTGGGTTCCCTCCGCCAGTCTAGCCCAAGTGTCCCAACTCTGGTTCCTCATTAACGACTTGCCAGAGTTTATAAAGTACATACATCTCTACCCTCTTATGGGTCCTGTATAGGACAGAAATCACTTCTTCCATTTAAGAGGAAATCGAGGCCCGAAGTGGGAACGACGCCCCGGCCAGTGGCAGGGCTGGGTAGCGAGAGAAACATGGACCTAGGAGTGCACACACTGAGGCTTAGCTCTCAGCCTCACCACTGACAGGCTCTGTAACTGGGGCAAGTTACTTAGCTCCTGTGTCTTGTTTTCTTATCTTGTAAAATGAAAGCAGTGCCGCCTCCAAGGTTATGGGGATTTCCTCAGACACCGGCACAGGAATTGGCAGGGGGTTGGGTGGAGACTGACTGAAGAGCTCAAGTCCCAGCTGAAGGGCGTGGCTGCCTGTCAACCTGGGGCCCAGGCCCACTGCACCAGGACTCTTGATATTTTAGGAGAGTTCAGACATAAAGATCTTTGTATGAAATATCTTTTTTTTTTTTTTGAAGTGTCAATTTTTAAACATAGGCAATGAACCAGGCAGGTCAGCATGGACATAACTGTCAGCCCAATGCAGCCTCCAGCCTGCAGGATTGGAACCTCACTCACACTTAACACAAACTGGGTGTGTGGTCACGCTCTCTGACCTAAAAGCCAGAGCTTGTTCTAACACCCTATACATCCTGCCCACCCCAGGGGTCAGAACCGCTGTTGGTTTGAGTCCTGGCCTTTTTTCCTGCCAGTATACAGGCGAACTTAGCTTTGCCACTGTACCCTGTCTGGGCCTCAGCTCCCTGTTAGCTCAAAGGTTGAGAGTTTTTGTGCTCCCAGCTTGTGGCTAGCTACTAAAGAAGCCTCTTTTGGGTTACTAGTGCTAGAAACCCTGTTCAAACGGCTATATTAGTTATCTACTGCTGTGTAACAAGTGAGCCCCTACTCTTAACTGGCTTGAAACAATAAGTATTTATGATTTCAGTGGATCAGGAATTCGAAAGTAGTGTAGCTGAGTGGCTCTGACTCTAGGTCCTTCACAGGGTTGCTGTCACATGAAGGCTTAACTGGGGCTGAGGACCCACTTCACATCACTGCTCAAGTGTCCTCCTGAGAGGTGGCTGGCCTCTCCCTGAGGGCAAGACCCAAGAGGGAACAAGGAGGACAGCTCAGTGCCTCTTAGGACTTGTCTCTAAGCTACATACCATCACTTGTACTTTATTCTCATTATTGAATGTGAGTCATTCAAGAGTTGGGAAATTCTAGCTTTTGAAGGAATGACTAGTATGAACTTAAGGACACAGTTTGCGACAACAACCAGTTTAACCGAAAATGAGACACTAGTGGCTATAGGGGAGCCTAAGATTCAGGAGCTGGATCAAGGCTTCACTGTCATCAGAGTTCTGTCTTTGGGCTCTTTTTTCTTTACATCATTTCACTTGACATTTAGAGTGTCCATGGGTGAGCTGAGACTGATCCCCTCCCTGTTTAGGAATCCAGTAGGCTGGGTTGCCCGTCTCTACTGTCATGAGAAATATGTCCTGGCCATAGATAGTTCAGAGAAACATTTTGGTGAGCTACTTGGGTTGGTGGAGGAAGGAGGTGGAATTGATGGTCTCAACGGTCTAACTTAGAGAGGAGGACGTAGCATGGTTCCCTCTAAGAAAAGGGAGGTAGGCAACCCAAGCAACTCGGGCACGGAGGCAGACTGGGAGGACAGAATGAGGTAGCAAGTGCCACAGCAGTACAGGTTTTACCTCTACTGGCAGTGGAACGCAGGTTCAGATCCCAGAGAATGGCACTGATTCCAGGTCTTTCTGTGTTTCTCCCCAGCTGGACGAAGCAGTGGCTGAAGCCCACTTGGGCAAGCTGAATGTGAAACTGACCAAGTTGACAGAGAAGCAGTCCCAGTATCTGGGCATGCCCCGGGATGGCCCCTTCAAGCCTGATCACTACCGCTACTGAGAACCAGGCCTGCCCTTCGTCTTCCAGCTGCTGCCCTTGCCCAGTCTCACCTCTCCTGCCCAAGAGCAAATGGCACCAACTTTGAGATTGGTTTGTTAATGCCTCCTGTTGACTCCCTGGAGCTGGTTGCTCAGTCTTTTGCCTCTGCTGCATTACTCACTGTTCTAAGAGTGTTGCGGAATTAATCCCCTCAAGCCCTGGTCATGACGGGGTACAAAGGAGACACCCATGGGATCCAAGAGCTCAGGGGTCTTGGAACTGCTCACTTATTCAGTCCTTCCTTAGACTGGAAGTTGGCAGTGGTTACAAAGCCCACGCACTTTACTCTAAGCCTTCACCTGGCCTGTGGACTCTACCCAAGTTCACTGGTTACTCACCCCAAACAGATGAGAAGGAGCAGGGAGGAACCGTTAATGGCTGTGATGTTCCTGAGAGCCTAACCCAGTGCTGGGCATTCTCGTAGCCCTCAGAAAAATGAGGTCGATATTTTCAGTTTCTGTTTTATAGCGGTTAGAATATACTGTTAGGGGACAAGGACGAGAGAAGTGACAGCCAGAGGTTGAGCGGAGCCAGGAAACATAAAAGCAGGCATACATCTGCCACCACTGTGGAACATGATGGTTCCTAACACAACTCTGGATCAAAAAGACTGATTTGGTTTTATAATGTTAAAGAAAAGAGGGAAGTTTGTAAATAAAAATTTTGGTGCCTAAAAGCATTTTGAGCCTTTATTATATAAATTACTGCCAGTAGTGTACAGCCTGAATAAGGGTTTAGTTACGTGCCGATGAAGCAGTGCAAAGATGAGCTTGGCTGCAGTGTGGGGCAAGAAGGGCTTCTGGCAACCCTGTGGTGTGACGATGGAGCTCATCTCTTCTGGTGTAGCTCTTGTAAGTAAGCCTGGTGGTATTTTTTTTTTTTAAATCCAATCTAAGACTGCCGTTTAATAAGTAAATTTAACTTGTTTATGTCTACTGTAACCTGCTTGTGTTTATTTTCTGCACCTTATTTTTATTGTTCCAATTAATATTTTCTTTTTTCTCTCCATTTCCACTTTGGATTGACTATTGAGTTGTGCTAGATGTTTTATAGTTGAGGTTTTTTTATTTACAACAAGTTGAGAGTAACATTAATCTTTTTTTTAAGGTGTGTGTGTATACAGAACTGAGGTACAGGCCAGAGGTGGTGAGAGGATTCACCAGAGACAGAGTGGGGAGCAGAACAGGCAGATCAAGGAAGTACGCTGCTGAGGGGAGCAGTGGGCAAGATAGGAGAGGTCTGCCACGCCATGTGGATCACCTCCGGGGCTGGGAAGCAGATCACACTGAGGCGGCTGTGGCCAGCTTGCAGTGCTGCACTTTAACCCACTACGCCACCAGGTAGGGCCTTGCATTAATTTTATAGACCAAGATTTTATATTACCATGTACACTGCCGTAAGTTTTACTCCTGTTAGACAGGCGCTGTACTGAGTACTTATTTGCCATGATAACTTTGGAGAGACTTGATTTCCTGATCAGAAAACTGAGGCTCTACTCTTGTTTTTGTACTTGATAGGACTCTTTGAGCCCCAAATCCAAATCCTCAACTCAGTTTCAGGTTTAGGAGGAAGGGAGCTGGTTGTGGACTCCCCAACACTTGGCTATGCAACTGGAGATGTAACCCAGGTTCCCAAAGGCAAAGCTGCCACCAGGGAGGGCTTCCACAGCTCCCACCTCAGCTCCTTTCCCATGGCGGCCCACGGGACAATGCCTTCTCAGAGGCGAGGGAGGCTGCTAGCCATAGGAGCCAGAAAGGGTAAGCGCCTTGTGATGCACAGCAGTGTGAGCACATTCCCTTCCCTGGAGCCTGTCTCCCTCCAGACATAGGAAATACCTTTCCAGGTCTTCTCTCCTGTGAGATCCCAGGTAGTCTCCTACCTCTGATACCCTAGGAGTACTGGTTTCTCTTATCCCAGCCTTTTCCTTTTTGGAATGTCCAGAGAGTTGTTTTTTTTAAAAAAAAAAAAAAAAGCCACCCTCTCCTTTAAACAAACCTCCCTGTACAGGATCAGCTCTGCCTTAGAATCAGATTTCAGTAGCCCAGATTCTCATCCCTTGAATAGGATCTTAGTCCTGATTTTCAGGACTACTGCAGGGTGTGTGTCCAGGAACCACGCTGTAAGTATAATCCAGGCCTCATCAATCAGCTTCAGGGAGTTCTCATCAACTCCAAACTGACTCAAGGACAAACACATGGCTCAGTGAGCTCAGCCTCAACCCCAGAACTTCAGGGCTTCTATTAGAAAGGTGCTGTGGTGCAGTGTAGAGAACTGTCTGGCAGTGGCTCCAGGAACTTACCCTAAGCTGCTTGGGCTCAGATTCCTGATTTGTTGTTTCCTATCCTTGGCTGGAGGTGTTAAAACCTCCCAAGGACTTTAAGTTCCCTAAGTGCTGGGCAGTCTGCTTTTCCTGACAACTTCCATAAATAGTTGGTATCTAAAGTCACACTGCTGGGCCCTCCCTGGTGGCCAGTGGGTTAAACTGCAGCACTGTGAAGCTATCCGCAGTCACTGCAGCACAAGTTCTATCCCCCCCATAGAGGTGACCTATATGCCGTGGCAGACCTCTCCTGATCCACCCACTGTTCCCCTCAATAATTGTGTGTCAGTAGATCCGCCTATTCTGCTCCCCACTCTGTTTCTGGTGAATCCTCTCACCCCCTGCACCTCTGGTCTGCAGTCCAGTTCTTGTGTGCATAAACAAATACATCTTTGAAAAAAATAAAGTCACACTGCCTAGCACCCTAATAGTCTCACTGCCCCCCACTCATAGCTGTTCTCGTATTTATTCTATTATAAGGAAACAAAACAGGTGTGGGGGGGATATACACTCACAGTATGTCCCGGCAGAATGTCCTGCCTCAGCTTCTCTGAGGACCTGATCCAACTGTCTTCTAAGTATGAAACACTAAAGACTATTCCTCAACCTGGTGCTTCTTACACTAACAACAGTGTGCCTCAGAACTACCTGAGGGCTTGTTAAAATGCAGATTGTAGCCCTCCTTAGTGGCGCAGCGGGTTCAAGCGCAGCACTAAGAAGCTTAAGC